TACAGTAGTCTTCATAATCCTGAACCTATCAACCCATCTGTTAATGCCCAAGGTACTAGTTTAAATCTGATTTTTTCTTCTTGTTGTAGCCGTAACAACCTGTAAACTTCGACTATTTATTTCCAAAAGTTGTCGATAAAGTTCATAAAATTTTTAACATCAGTTTTTTTATATTTTAGGTAACGCTTACCCATTACTGCCACCCTACTTCTCTACCCAGGTTACAGAGCCGCAGAATACTGTGTCGACAACGGTATAATATGTCAATATTTTGTACTATTTTTCTTAAATTTTCTGAAAACTTGTCTACATTTGAAATGAAGATGAGCTTTTTGTAACAGTATCATTTTCTGAACATTTCAAACTGAAATAAATTGGCCGTTAGTCTGAAATCAAAATTTGGGCTATTTTTTGTAAACTGTGATGGTTATTAACTACCAGAAGATAAAAACGACTGGATAGTTTTGTCTCTCATTCTTTTCTTGGACTTACAAAAGTGGTGGAAACTAGGTGACCTGATGGCAGAACTTACTGCTTTTTTTGAAGAGCGTTTTTCTACTTTTAAGGTCACAATAATTTTAGAAAAAGAAACTTAGGCTTGGTAAAATGACATTTTGAGACTTATAACTTTGGCTGAAGTTAACATTAAGTTATCAAAACTTTTTTGGTTCGCATCGCTCAGTAATCTATTTTCTTTCACGTAAAAAGCAGCGTTTACTCAGTTTTATACCATTGGATCAAATATGGGAAAGCTGTGTTTGAAATGTTTCTCATACAATTGAAATAAAAGCTTTTTCTGTGAGATTCGTAGCAGTTGTAAGTGGTGCAAAATTTAAGGAAATGTTTTACTCTCATCATTGAGATGTAGAGAATATTTTTGAAAGTTTTAGAATGGAGCGAGATACAGTAATGAAATGATTTTTTTCTTGTATAATTACTTCATTTTATTTTTAATTAATAATTAATAAATATCAGGTCTTGTTTCACCAGTACTGCTTGTTTAAGTATAAAAAATGGTCTACACAGTTTATCTGCATTGTTCTGGACTAAAATTTTTCTAGGCTTAATATAATTAAACTATATGTCTATTTATTTTCAAATTGGCTGAATCTGGATACGCCAAAATTTTATAAGACTACACACAAAAAGGTTTTTAAATGTTTTTATAACTTGATTGTTTAGAGTTATAAGTTTGAAAATTAAGTGCTATTCTAATTTTTTCTTTCTCTTTCAGATAGTACCAAAAAAAACATCTACTAATGCGATAAGTGGTAGCCAAGTAGTCGTTGGTACTACAGTTATGATGGCTCCGCTAACGTTTTCAAGCACCGGACTCCAGAAGGCCAATGTTACACATGGAATTCGTCAAGTGATTCTGATCAGAAATAAAAAGAAGGAAAAGTATGGTCTTCGTTTTCGATCACTCAACAAGGTTACAGCGCTTTTTTCGTCTTTTTTTCTGTTAATTTCACAATTTTCAAAAGCCTGTTTAGGATGTGAACACCATTGTAACTTATTTTTACATTTAGGGTATCTTTGTGCACTTTGTTTCTAAGGATTCGCCAGCTGCAGCTGCCGGTATTCGTTTTGGTGACCAGATTTTAAAAGTTAACGACAAAGAAGTGGTAGGTATGGAGGGTGACAAGGTATGGCTTTATAACACTTTTAAACAAAATAATTTTGTTGTTTGTTTTGAAAACGAGGAAAAATGTGAAATTCTTTTAAGTTATTTTTGATTTTGGAAACGTAATTTTCTTCTGAATAATTCTTGTTTTACAGGTGTTGGATCTTATGACTAAACCAAAAGATGCTCAGGAAGTTACCTTAACTATCAGAGACAGGTAAGAATTTTTTTTTGTTTTATTCTTCAATTACTAATGTGCCACAGTCAACAGTGACGTACTGATTTTTAGACCATTTGAGAGGACAATTACTTTGCATAAGGACAGTGTTGGGATGTTTGGTTTCGGTCACAAAGATAACCTGATAACTGCGATAACAAAGGATTCTAGCGCTAGCAGGAACGGTTTATTAACAGATCATAGGATTCTTGAGGTGGACGGTCGGAGCATCATTGGTTTTAGCGTAAGCATTATATACAAGTTACCAAAACAAAAGATTTTAGGACACTAAAGATAATTTTGCTTTATGGAACTTGACCTCATCTTAATTCTAATCATTGTTCAAATGCTACCAAAGAGAAAGAAATCAGAGGGTGACCATCTGGTATGGTGAAGTAAACAAGCAAATATCTTCACCTATAATCTTAACAGTATCTTTTGATGGCTTTTCAAAATTTTTTATTTTAAGACTGCCTGTTTGAATTTTCAGTTTTTCGCCTTGTTTTTGTTCTGTCATTTCACCTGTGTAATTACCTAGAATTGTGCTATAAGGAGTAAAAGTTGAGGAGAAAAATCAAATGCTTCTAGTTTGGTGGAAAGCAAAGTTTTTATATGGACAATTTATTTTCAAATCCTGCTACGGGGTATACATTTCGTGGAAAGTTGGCATTACTTTGATGTTTTTATATCAAGAAGGGTCACCTTCTCTCTTCACAAAATTCAACGGCTGGCGACTCGTAGGACTGTAGTTTACTTCTGCATTTATTGATTGAAGCTAATATTAGGAGCAAGTGTAAAAAACTACATATTTAGTGCGGATGATTTCTGTTGTAGTTGTTAACGGTTCTGCTATAAATCACAATTCTCCATTTTTTGTGCTAACGGAATT